TGATTTCTTTCAATTAAGTTCTTTCTTAAAAAAAATAAAATTATATAAATTTAAGTAAAATCTCATAAAACTTATCAAAATATCAATAATTTCAAAAAAAATTTTACATTAATATCTATAAAATTCTAACTCATCAAACCTCAACCAATTCTTTATATAGAAATGTGTAATTAATTTGTCAAGATTACCATATATGACATTAATTGTTAAAAATGAAAAATTAAAAAAGATAAAAGCTAAGCTAAATAACATTACTAAACAAGAAAAAAAAACCTAAAAAGGACAAACATTGAATTTACTAAAAAGTAAGCATAACTATACAAAATTAAAATTTTGAAACTAAATTTAAGTAAAATAATTTTCTTAAATACATCAAATTGATTAAGGTGTATCTTTAAAATTGACTAAAAATTAATTTTTAGAATCCGCATAAACTGATATTATAACAACCTAACTATTCCCTAGGACCTAATTTTTGTTTCAATGTTATTTTTCTCTGTTTATCAAAAAAAAAACCAACTAATTAAAACAAAAACCCCTAAAAAAGACACTCACAGGGCAAATTTACGTGTTGGGCTCAAGACGGAGTGAGAAAACAGTCTGGGCTCCAGATTAGGCCTACAAAAATTTAGTCGAGCCTGAACGGATTTGCTGTTGACATTGATTGCAAAATAATTTTTAATTGATTACCCATTGTGTGAAAATTCAACCCAAATAGCCTGCGTTGCTCTTTGCATTAGGGGTGAGCAGTTTTTTAATACAGGTCATGAAAGAGAAATATTTAGGATTTAATTTAAAAAATTTTTAATATAACTTTTTAAATTTAGTATCTATTTAAATATTTAAAAACTTATATTTAGTACTTAATTCAATAGGCATTGAGTAAGATGTCGGTATATATTTAAAAGAGTTACTGTTTAACCGCCTTATATTTTAAAAATTAAGAGAAAAAATATTCAAAAATTACATTGTTTTAATGAAGCACTATATGAAATGATATAAAAATACTTTAATTCATATTTAAAAATAAAGTATTTTAGTTCTATTTTATAAGAGTTTATTGAAATAACATAATTTTATAATACATTTCATCATAATTTTATAAAATAAGACGAATAAGCACTATTCTCATATTTATATATTTAATTTAAAAAAATAAAAGATATAGTATAAAATGCTATTGTTATATGTATTATATGTTTAGTTTAGAATTTATTATTTATATGAATTGTTATTGCTACGTGTGTGTGTGAATTATTTAGTTTACAAAGTATACTTGGCTTTTATTTTTATTTTTTGTATGAGAAAAGTGCATATCAATCATGATTTTTAAAAAAAAAATTGAAGTAATAACCTTAAATTATATCATTTTATTTAATTTAAATTCAATTCAAAATTTAAAAATTTATATAATTAGTTTTTAAATCTAAATATCAATATTTAATAAAATAAATTTTTAAATTTTGAATTGAGATTTTAGTTTTTAAATGTAGGTTAAGATTCTAACTTTGTTAACAGTCAAGATTGATACGTATTAATTTTTTTATATATTTTATTATTTTTATTTTTAAAAAATTATTATTATTATTATATAAAGATTAAGTATAATAAATATTTATATAAAATTTTAATTCTACAAATATAAGCAATAGATCAATTAAATAAATGGAATAAATAATTTTAAATCTTTATATTCATTACTTATTTTAAATATCTTATTTTTATATCTATTTTTTATTTTTTTATTTTTTTATTTTTTTTACAATTTAAATATTAATACTTTTCTAAAT